CCGGGCAGGTCTCTGGCCCCTGCAGCTGTGGGTGCCACAGCCATGGGCTGGGCCGGACCGTGCCAGCACCGGGGCCCAGACCCTGTAATGCCGCGAGGTCGCAGGAGCTGGGGAGCTCTGCCAACTAGCAGGCCCCTGCCTCCGAGGGTGCTCGCTCAGAGGCCCTGGGCCAGGGTCGTGGCTCTCTCCTCTCCTCCATGGCTTCCTTCTCCCTCTTGCAAATCTCCCCTATGATGCACGCAGGCCTCCAGCCGCTGACCCTGTGGCCGCACCAGTGCCTGGCCTGGCTCAGCCTCCTGCTGCCGCCTTATGGCCACCTGCAGCAGCCCCCTCCTCAGATCTTCAGCTTGCCCCCATGCCCCGTAGATGTCATGCCCAGGCAAACTCCTGCCCTGCCTTGGCCGCTCACACCACCCCTGGCTGCCGTCCCTCTTGTCTTGACCGGGGCAGCAGGCGCTTCCCAATGGCCGGCCAGTCCCAGCCTCCAGCGCACCTGGCTGTTCTTGCCCTCTCAGGTGTGCGGGCAGGTGCGGCGCAGGTCACGGCCCCCCTCCAGCTGCTCTACTCATCCCAGATCCTGTCGCTGCTCTCCAGGCCCTGCAGCCTGGGTGCCCCCTCCTCTGCTCGGCCAACGCAAGGAGCTGCACTCCCAGCCGCCCATGCGAGACGCTCTGTCCTGTGCTGCGAGCCCCCAGCTCCGAGCCCATCCAGAGAGAAGCGTCATCGAGGACACGGGGCTGCGGGGAGGAGTCAGCGCGCCAAGCCCCTGGGCCAGCAGAGGACAGGCAGTGGGGACAGGGGGACAGGTGCTGCGCAGACGGTGCAAGGGCTCAACACTGAGGAAGGGAATTCAGGGGCCCCGCCTGGATGACAGTGTTGGGACACGACTAAGAAAAGGAAAATGTAGCCTGAATATCTGAAAAATGTCCTGGCACGGAGGGGAAGGGTCCTCGCCTGGGATAGTCTCAGGTCCGCATCACCCCAAGCCCCCTCATGCCCAGAGTCTCTTGGCTGGCACAGCTGGCAGAGGGGCTCGGTGCTCCCCTGGAGCCAGGGCAGGGCTGCCAGCCAGGGCCACAGCCATGGTCCATCTCCACAGGGTACAGGCTCCGCTCCAAAAGCAGATGAGCTCAGGCGGGAGCAGCCCCGGGGGTCCCTGCAGCACTAGTGGCTGGACCAGCTCACGACTTCCACAGAGGCAGCCGCTGCCCAGAGCCCGCTTGCTCCCAGCACGCTGCGCACTACACCCCGGGGGGGCCTCTGCCCACTCTCTCCGGTGTTGCCTTTCCACCCGATTCCTAACCTCCTACGCAGCCTTGCCTTTCCCCACGCCTCTCCACCTGCCACCCACATCTGTGCTGAGCTGGAGGCATGGCATGGCATGGATCAACTGGTAAGAAGCCAGGGGCTTGCTTCCTCACTCTGCCACTGAGCTACTGCGTGACCTTGGGCAAGGCACTTCCTTTCAACATTTCGGTTTCCCTGTCTGAGATGGGGAGTAAGACATGGATGGACGTTCCATGCCGGGAGCTGGGTGGGCGTGAGCCTATGTGAGCGGGGCACGGTCAGCGATACCTGGTGCTGAGCTGGGAGACATGGAGAAGCCACCTCCACCGGGCTTGAGTCTGCTGATGCTAATCCTGTATTTGGAAACGGCCATCTGCACTGTGTGGACATGTGTTTCTCCCTGCTCTCCAAAGAAGCCTCACAAAAAATGTCAGTTATAAACACTCAGAAGAAACGAGGAAGGGAATCTAAGATCCCCAGGCACAGAGAAAATAATTTCTGTTAGCGCAAAACCCAGGAAGGTGACAGGAGGCGGGGAGGAGAGGGCAGTGAAAAGTGACCCAGGGAAACAACCAGGCAAAGATTCTCCCCCGAGCATTAAGCTTGGAGACCAGCGTGTGCTGCAACGGTGAAGAGCCCCGGCCATGCAGTTAAAGCAACAGGTCAGGCACCCAGGAGGCAGAGTGACCCGTGGTCTGTCCAGTGCAGGCCAGCGTGCATGTGGGCAGGACACGAGCACAGTGTCAGCTATGAGACAGATTCAAAACGCAGCCAAGAGGCCAGGCATCGGCACACTGCTTCCAGCTGGCAGCCAAGCTCGGTGGGAACCGGTAGAAACATTGACATTACCTTGCCTCATGCTCGCAGCCGTCCCTGGCAGCCTCCCAGAGAGTCCATCGGGCCCGACTGGGGACAGGGCCAGAGTCGTGGCAGCGACTGAGCGCACAGGAGCTGCAAATCAGGTGGAGCTCATCAGCACCAACTGAGTAAAAACCAAAAAAAGCAGCGCGCGCGGCAGGGCGGCAGTTCTGGAATCCACACGGCAAACTGACGTCAGCCTCGTCTCAGTATTACTGTGCAGATACAGGAGGATGTGGTGAGTGCATGAAAGGCAGTGAATGAGCTCTGACACCCACACTACTCCTTGCTCTGCTGTCTGCTTTTCTATGTGAGAAAAGGGTGGGAGAGCAAATAAAAACCCACCAGGCCAGGCCTCTGAAGGGTTATTGGAAGTGGGTGTGTATTGTAATGCCAGTGAGTTCATCAGCCAGAAGGTGCTGGGGCCAGGCTCCCTGCCAGGACACCAGAGAACGGGTTATAATTAATGGTCCAAATTGCACCATCCACCCGCCCGGCCATGGCCCGAGAGCTGGCCGGCACAACTGCGGGGAAGGATCCCTGGGAGGCGCGGACACAGGGAGCCAAAGACCTCAGACCACAGGGCAGAGGTTTAGTGCAGGCAGAAGCGAGTGTGGTCTGGACGCTGTCCAGGCAGAGAGGAGCGAGCCTGCGGCCTGACTCAGCTGAGCGGCTGCCGGCGGGGCGCAGGCCACGGCCGGTGTGGAGCAGCGCAGAGCAGTGCGGACCCTGCCTCCTCCCCGCCTGCCAGGCTGGGGGTGGCCCGGGAGAGCCCCTGAGCTGGGCGAGCCGAGCCGAGCCGAGCCGAGCCGGGGGGAGGATGGGGTCGGCATGGGGGTGGCGGAGGGAGCGGGCAAGTGGAGGCAGCAGGTGCTGCAAGAACTGTTGGGGACCGGGCAGGGCGGGGACCAAACGGGCCCCCTCTTACGCCCCTGCCAGTGGAACCGGCCCAGCACCCCCCTGGGCACACACGGGTCCCCTGGGGCGTTCCAACGCACACCTTGTATCACCTGGAGAGAACTGATTATTTCCCAGCCCATTAATAACTAAGGAGGATGTGAAATGACATCTACTAAGGACAAACACCTTTAAATCACAGGCCTAGCTCACCTGCACCCAAGAGGCCCAAAGGGCTGTCTGAGACCTCTGGCCCGATGACGTTAATTTGAAATGGATCACGGCCCGCTGGAGGACGTCCAGGGGCTGTACGAGGGCGGGGAGCCTGCTGGCATCCGAAGAGGGCGAGCGTGCACGATGAAGTGGGTCACTGCAGGCTGGACGGCCTGACATCCTCCGCCTCTGGCCAAAACACCGGCACCGAGCCAGCAAGCCTGGCGCAGGCTGACTGATGGGTGTCAGGGAGCAGCCGTCCGTGGGCATTGCCAGCAATTCTGGCATGGGGCACAGCCCTGTCTGCCCCTAGCGCCAGCAATTCAAAGTCAACACGCAGCATCGCGGATTCAATGGGCCGCTGCCAGAAATCAGCAGAGCCATTAGGAAGGACGAGGACAAGGATGGGGCAGCCCTCCAGCGTGATCTGGGTTGCCTGGCCTTCGAGGCCCGTGCAGACGAAATGGGCAGAGACACGGCCAAATGCAAAAGTACGCATCTTAGAGAAGGGTAAGAAATTCCTGCCTGGAGGAGAATCCCATCCACTGACTCCTCTGTGAAATATGAACCACCAGGACCAGAAGGAAATATGACTACATCCTGCTTTGCAAGAAACAACTTTGAGGTAAAGAGACTGGTCCAACTTTTCTCTGAGCCCAATCTGCATATAAAATGAACTTTTCCAAACAGGAGATTTTACTAGCTTCAAATCTCCTATGAAATATGAACTTTCATTTCTACCCAGGAGAACTTCTACAATCTTTTGTCTGATGCCTGCTGAAGGGTGTTTGCGCCCGAACGCTTGGAATTAAAGAAGTTTTTTTGCAAAAATCTAGTTGGTCTAACAAAAGGTATCGCCTCTGCCACGAGTCCTGGATGCACCTGAGAGAAGGGAAACTCACCGAACAGGAGACTCCTGGAAAGCAGCAACCTGAGGTCACAGCGGCCAAGCAACTGACTGCAGCTCCAGGTGCGAGGCCGTGGTGAAAATGGCTAATAGGGAACAGCCGGGACTGTCCAAGCAGCGGGGATGGGAGCACGTGGCACTGATGAGGCTGGCGCGGGAGCACGGCCTACGGCTCTGGTGTCTGCATCCCGGGACAGCAAAGGCAAGAGCCTGGGTCAAAGGCTGGAGGAAAGGTTTGCCAGCGGGAGAGTGCAGGAGCTCTTCCAGTTTAGACAGAGGTGGTTGGTGTGGGAGCAGAGGTGGTGCGAATACTTTCCCAGAGAGAAAGCACCAGGCAGGCACCACAGGCCCTTCGATCTAGTGGAGAAAGACATTGTAAGAACCGTTGTCTGGTTCATCGGTTGTGAGCTGAAGCCAGACAAATTCATCTGGAAATACGCCATAAAAGTGAGCAAGGGATGTGCTGGAACGGGTTACCGAGGGAAGGGGCTCCTCGTCTTCGCAGCACAGCTGGACGGCTCCCTGGAGAATACTTGACCAAACCCAAGTCACCGGGTGACGGAGTAACGGGAAATGACAAGAGAAGAGGTCCGACTGCCGGTCTGACAGCCCCTTCTGGCCTCCGACCTCAGGTTCGTGGCCTTGCCCCCAGCTCTGTGTGCAGCGGCACGTGGGCGGCAGAGCTGCTGTCTCCTCCTGACCTGGGGCCTCCATCTTCCTTGAAATGAGCCCTGCAGCGGGTCCAACGTTGGGATCGGGAGGCAGAGCAAGACTGGAGATGCCCAACACATTTCATGGGCTGGGGCGAGAGGCCAAATCCTGGGACTCTCCTACAAAACAAACTGTTCCAAAAAATGCTGATCCGATGCTTCGGAAGCACCGTGCTTGCCCCGCAAGGCCGACCGCGTCACGTGGGGCCGTCCGCCTGGCTGGATGGACGAGGCAAAGCAAGGCCGGGACAGCCTGCCCTCCGGCAGGAAACCTGTCCGGCTCTCTGAAGAGAGGGTTGGGAGTTGGCTTGGCTGCCGTCTGCAAATGTTTCCTTTCTGGCAGTGCAAAGGTCTTTAATGCAGCAGGGGAGGTCACTGGCTGGAGCCTGGAGCTGAGCACATGCAGGGCATTCAGCAGCAAGAGCCTGGGCACAGCTCACTCTGGGATGCACTGGACTCTCCACCCTGGGGGCCTTTCAGGCAAGGCTGGAGGTGCCGGTCTCCCGGATCCATCCAGCGCAACCAGGGAGCTCCGTTCTGGGCACAGGCACCCCTGCAAGAAGTGTCCTGGCCTGCGGGATGCAGGGGTCAGCTCAGACGACTACAAACTCCCGTCTGCCCTTCAAACCTAGGAGCAGTCTGTGCTGAGGGCCCTGCGCTGCCTTCCCGGTCCTTCTTGGGCGCAGGTGGAGGGACCGGGCTTGCTCCACAGAGGAGTCCTGTTAGCTTCGGACACCTGGCGGCTCCGACTGCCTGAGGCTGGAGGGTGCTGGGGCAGGCAGACGCCGCGGAGGTGCGCGGCCCTCCGTCCCTCCCCTCATCTCCTGCATCCGGCCTGCTTGGGCCCAGGAAGGGTGCCAGGAGAGACCCGTCCATGGGAACCAGTTGTGTGGAAAAGACTATTTCCTGAGCTTGTGCTGCGAGGGGCAGATGCGGTTTGGCGCCCTGTGCAATGCCACTGCTAACCCTGTCCATACGGTGCCCAAGAGCATGAGCAGGCCCTGTGTGTCCACATGCCCTAGGCTGCCGAGTGCAAGACATCTTCCTGCCTTGGCTGCTTGTTGGTGGGTTTAGTGGCTGGGACATAATGCTCAAGTTGGTGAGAAGGGAGAGGGGGTAGAGATTGGGGCAGGGAAGGGAACAACGCTGGCAGGGAGTGGGCAGCACCTGGGGCAGGGATGGCAGACAGCTGCTCTCAGCATTTGCTTCGAGGCTCTGTGGTTTTATCTGAAGCACCCAGGGCTGGGCAGGCACAGACAACACTCACAGAAGTGTCTGGGCTCGACCAGATGTGGCTCCATGCACGCATGTCCATCTGCATGGTGAGGACTCAGGCCCTCCCCTCCACCCCCCGGGAGCAGAGCAGCTCTGACGCCCAGGCCCAGCCCTGCACGCGCCTTCGCCCAGCCTGGGCCAGGCAAGTGCTGGGGGAAACGGTCGCTGCGCCTGTCCCAGAGACGCCGCAACCACACGTGCCGTTCTGGAGCGAATCTCCATCTCAGGTGGGTTGCGCTGCCTCCTCCGTCCCAGTGACATCAGACTTTCCAGTCGCAGTCGCAGTCGCAGTCACTCTCCAAAGGGTGAATGAGGGCGTCACAGTACAAAACGCAAACTCCACAGGATGTGGCTTCCCGGCTATTGATTAGATTAGTGCTGGCGTGGGTCCAAGAAACGAAAGTGCACCTGCCCCAGCCCCAGCCCCAGCTCGCAGGGTTCAAGGTCTGTGCTGGGAAAATCACTGTTTGTGGAGTCACAGCCAAGGCCTCCTGCACGGGAAACCAGCAGCTGTTTCTGCACATCCCCGCTCCAGAACACGCGCACACCAACCGTACGATCACAGGCTTGACAGCTTTCTGCTCTACAATGGTCTGCTAATTAGCACTCATGATTATTAAGTTCATGATGTGGAAAAGCAATGCTGTCTCCATATTTACTGCCTGAAACAATTTGCTCGCCAGCCATTGCGTTTCAACATGCTACATCCCAGGAGTCGGCCCTCTTCTACTGGACCCGGATCTTTATCAGGGAAATAATCACATTTACCAAAAATAACAAGGCAAAATGACCGCAGAGCAGCTGAGACTTGAGTAACATGCTGCCACCGGAAAGCAAAGCAAGAGAAGAAACCACTTCAAGGTCCAGGAAACTGGGTTAAATATGAATGAGCTTGGCAGAATGTGGAGGTGTTAGTCAGCAAACCCGAGCAGGGACAAAGCAGCAGGCGATGCCAGGGCTGCCAGGAGCGGGAAGGAGCAGGGGCAGCGACTGCAGCCCTGGGCCCAAAGCAAAGGGCTCCCGGGGGTTTCCAGTTTGCAGGGAACTCTGCAGCCAAGCGCGGTGGAGCAGGGTCCAACAAGGGAGAAAGCGTCGGAGCTGAG